ACCGTGGGACTAGATGGCGCTGTGTTAATTGTCCAGGGTTATTTATTTATTTATATCAGTTGTCTAGTACCCATAACACAAGCTCTGCTTACCGTGGGACTAGATGGTGCTGTGTTAATTGTCCAGGGTTATTTATTTATTTATTTCAGTCGTCTAGTACCCATAACACAAGCTCTGCTTACCGTGGCACTAGATAGCGTTGTGTTAATGGTTCAGGGTTATTTATTTATTTATATAAATAATAATAAATTATTTAATCGACTTACGATGTTATTTTCTGAAAGTCCATTTCACTACTTAATGTATTTATATTATTTTGTTTAATAAGCTCTGCTTACCGTGGGACTAGATGGCGCGGTGTGAATTGTTCAGTGTTATTTATTTATATTAAGTAGTGAAAGTCCATTTCACTACGTAATGTATTTATATTATTTTGTTTAATTCCGATACAATTAGCATGTGAGATCACAAACATTCGGCGCGGGAACTTGACTACCATTACGACCATCTTTAATAATGATCTATGTGTGTGTGACAGGGACAGATGCCACCGCAGCCGTCTGTGCCAACGAGTGCGAGCGAGATGGACATAGCTCAACCGTTGTGGCCCACCTGCGACCCGAAACTGGGCGAGATCAACCCCATGATGGAAGATAAACCTATGTATTATAACTTAAAGATATAGTGATACTAGTGGCCCGCCCTGGCTGCGCCTGCGTGCTTGTAACTTGTAAGTTTTGTACATTCAAATTCAAATTCAAATTCAAAATATCTTTATTCATGTAGGTCTATTACAGACTCTTATGATATGTCAAATCTACCGTCAGTTCGGAATGATTTCGAGGTGAGAAGAACTGACAAGAAACTCAGCTTGTATTTGTTTTTAATGTTGTACATATTTATAATAATACTATTTCATTTAAATTCAAATTTGGGAGACCACCAGCATATGCTATATAAAAAAAAATCAAAAAATCTAATCAGTGTTCGCAACCTGAACATAACATATAGACTAATAAGGCCGGATTTCACCAAAACTGATCGCGTTTAGTTCGAACTGAACGCCATTAAAACGTTTAAACGTGTTCAAAGTTTCATTTTGAATTTCACCACTACAAATTTCGCTCAACTCGTTTATAGATTCTGAACGCCCGATTTCCTACCTTTAACCTACCTAACCTACCACACGTTTCGACTTGTAAATGTAAACTTACAAGGATTATTTAAAAGAGCGACACACAAGTTTCTTGCTCGTTCTTCTTGTGATGAGACAGCTTTCCGAACGAGTGGTAGATAAAAAACAAATTGTTATGACTATTCAAAAGTGCTTAAATTAAGTTTATTTGAATAAATGATTTTTTTTATTCTATTCTATTCTATTTAAAGCAGCTGTCAGTTGTCAAACTGTCATCAATCAAATTTTTGACAATACAATATCGGGTATAAAAAAAATTCAGCAAAGCGATCAGTTTCTGTGGTGAATTCCGATCTATTTAAGACACTATGGAATGATGTGCATTTCAAACATTTTTTTTAGTGCTAATGATGGAGGCTTGAAGATCTACCTTCGATGAAATGTTGGTCTGGATCGGTCGAGCCGTTTTGGAGGACTGTCGTTACAAAGAGTGCAAATCTGATCTCTAAAACTGCCGAAGTGTGAGTGTGGTTGGATGGATGTTTGTTACATATACCAAAATAACATTTATTATTATTTTTGTCTGTCTGTCTGTGTCTATTTGTTCCGACTAATCTCTGGAATGGCTAGACCGATTTTGACGGTACTTTTTTTGGCAGGTAGCTGATGTAATAAGGAGTAACTTAGACTACTTTTATAATTGAAAAATAAAGTAAATTCCACGCGGACGAAGTTACGTGTACAGCTATTTAATAAATATATATATTATATATATATATTTATTGTGTCATTTAAAGTTACTTATTTTAATCGTCCCAGTTTTTTAACTGCAATGTGCTGAACGAGTTCTAGTAACGAGTACCTTATAAGTGGCCAACCTCGGAACGGGTACAAGTACCTGCCCCCGTTATAATGTGTTAATATTTAATTTATACAATTTATAATAATAATATTAACAGATCTCTTTAATTCGAGTTTTAGTTTTAAAACTATTTCAAATAGTATATATCTATACATATAAATAAAATTGGAGTGTCTGTTTGTATATCGAAATAACGGTTTTTTACTGCATGCATATGAACATAAATACGGTATATACACCAAAATAACATTTTTTACAATTCTTGTCTGTCTGACTGTTTGTTCCGGCTAATCTCTGAAATGGCTGGACGATTTTGACGGGACTTTTATTGAGGTAGCTGATGTAATAAGTAGTAATTTAGGCTAACTTCTATTTTTTTGTTAAATTCCACGCGGACGAAGTCTCGGGAACAGCTAGTATATATGTATATATGTACCACGCGTTGCTGTGGCTAAGGTTCTTGAATAAAATAATATTGCGACTATAAATTTAGATGTAAGCTATCCTATCTTTCAAGTTGGATCAAATTGCACACAATGTGCAAATCAAATTTGCAATCGGTTCAGTAGTTTAGGAGTCCATCGCGGACAAATAAAGCGACACGTATTTTTTATAAGTAATGATATAAGTTAAGGGATACCTATATTTTTGATTTTTTTATAATAATGGCATTAAAAATTACATACAACCCTAAATTTTCATTCGGTCACCAACGCCTATTTTTTAATAGATATTTTAATTTATGTTGCAAAATAAGGTTTTCAGGGCCAGCTAGACTACATATACTAGCTGACCACGCAATGATTAACTTTTACACTTTCGTAGCTATAAGTTTATTTTATGAGCAATATTAGTTTAATCTATACATATAAATAAAATTAGAGTGTCTGTTTGTAATATTGAAATAACCGTTGTTTACTACATGCATATGAATATAAATACGGTACATACCCGAAAATGACATTTTATTACAATTTTTGTTCTGTTTATTCCGGCTAATCTCAGAAATGGCTGGACCGATTTTGACGGGACTTTTATTGGCAGGTAGCTGATGTAATAAGAAATAATTTAGGCTACTTTTATTTTAGAAAAATAAAGTTATATTCCACGCGGATGAAGTCACGAGTAGCAGCTAGTTGATTATATGATACTATTAAATATAAGGTTTTAAATTAACTTACAGGTATATAACTTAATGATATAATTGAATTATTTATTTATATTTAAAAATTAATATTAATAATCATGGATCTGATGAAATGTATTGTAAATATATAGTGTATTTTGTATTTATTAAAATTATAATAAATTACATCTGCTTTTTATTTATTAAAACTAGTTAACGACCAGAATTTGACTGTTTTTTTAATATAATTTGAATGGTAAACGGCTTTCCTGATTGTGTTTGATTGTGGAATGAACTATCTGCCGAGGTTGCCTCACGAGACTACAGCATGGGGTTTTTCAAGAAGGGTATATTAAGGTTTCTTAAGGGTCGGCAACGCGCACGTGACACCCCTGGTGTTTCAGGCGTTCATAGGCTACGGTAACCGTTTACCATCAGATGGGCCGTATGCTTGTTTGCCACCTAAGTGGTATAAAAAAATATGAAAGCCTAGGAGAACTGTATCACCACAACAAGATGATAATAATAATCATCATTACATAGTATAAAACAAAGTCGCTGTCGCTGTCTGTCCGTCCCTATGTATGCTTAAATCTTTAAAACTACGCAACGGATTTAGAAACGTTTTTTTTAATATATAGAGTGATTCAAGAGGAAGGGTTATATGTATAATACATGTACACCCGGGCGAAGCTGGGGCGAGTAGCTAGTAGGCTATAATTGTAAAAGGTATTATGTAAATTGGGTGAAATATAATAATAAATGTCAAGTGTGATGCAGGCGAAGTTGCGCGGGTCAACTAGTATAATATTATGCTTACAAGGAGATCCTAGCCCCGGCTTAAGTAAATATATAAATAAGGATATGTGGTGGCATGTGAAGCGGCTGAAAAATTATCTCACAGAGAGAGTAAGAATATTATTATGTGAGTCCTTTATTCTCTCTAAGTTCAATTACGGTGATCTAGTATATGGTCCTCGCCTTGTATGTAATTCTCGGAACATAATGACATTGACATACCTCCACGTACTCATGTCTCTCCATTTCTAAATAATGCATCAATTCTTAACATGGAATCACGGAGGCGGTTGCATCTCGCAGTACTCATGTTTGATATAATGACATTTAAAAATCCAGAATACTTATATAATAAATTAATTCATTTTGAAAGTCATTATGTCGGCGTCCCTAGATCATACGGGTTCCTTTAGCAATGTATTCTCACCGAACTGTTGCTTTTACGGGAAGTTTCCGCTACCAGGCGACTAAATGCTGGAATAATATCCCTCCACCTATAAGAGCCATTACTTCAAAACAGGTATTTAAGAAAAAGATAAAACTTTTTCTACTAGACAATTCCTAGCATTTATATATTATTATTATTTTTTGAAAGCCTTTGGTCGCTTAGGTAATGGTCCGCGTCAACAGTTATTTGTATTTGAATTGATATTGATATACATTTTGATTTATTTATTTTATTATTTTTTTCTTCTATTATTTTTATTAAGAATTAGTTTAATTTAAATTTTGGTAACATTAAGATTGTTGAGTGAATATGTCGCTGCACGCGATCGCACCACCACTGGGCTGCTACTGAAAATCAGTGTTTTGCTCGCTGAGCAAATTGTTCACTGAGTAGCTCAACCCTTTCGTATCCCTGTGGCACCTAATATATATTTTAATGTTTATTTTATGTGGAAGTTAAAGTATGATGTGTTGTATTTTTTTTTTTTAATATATATATTATATATATATATATATATATATATATATATATATATATATATATATGTTTGTTAGGGACAGTGATATCAATCAGGTATCCAATTTGTTAGTTTTTATAATATAATTAAATAAATAAAATGTCATAAAATATTTTAATTATCGTAGTAGGACCAAGAAATCGGCATTTGCTTGTTCATATACGATTTTGTGTAGTGCTGTGGCATGTTATGAGGTATGTTGTTCTTCTTAGCATTGATTACAGCATCAGTCAGAACGGACATTGTTCTTGTTAAATATTCATCAGCTTTTTTAATCTGAAACAGATATATTTTAATATAATATTCATAAAATTCAATATTTTTTTGAAGTCAAACATGTATAATGTTGTGTTAATATTGTACAGACAAGCTTATATTTATAAGTGTGTCTGTCTGTTATAGAGATTGCTTTCAGTAATAAGACTGAATTTTTTTTTTTTTTGTATAGAGGTTAGTGTTGTATATCACTAAAAACGGGAAACGAGACGGGATAATGGAAAGGAACGGGTTAAATTTTGAATATACTCAGAATTAGTGATCATGGGTTTTAAAGTTTAATGTTATTATGGGAAATAAAAGATGCAAAAGATATATAAATTATAGGACTAGAATGTTACTATCTTTTCTTTCTTTTTTTTGTAATTATTTGTTATTTTTTTATGCACAATAAAGAGTTTTATTATTATTATTATAAAAATGGATATATATTAGGATTTTTTGGTCGCAAAAATGTTATATCGTCGACTGGAAGGGGTAGATGATATATCGCGATGTGACAGAAAAAGAAATGATTTTTTTTGGTTGATAATGGAATGGTGCACTTGCCTGCGCTAACGGTTTACGCTGGCGGAGCACCAGTGAAGGATGATAAGATGAACAGGTCAGATCAGTTGGCCCATCGTGACAATTTCACCAAGAATTTATCACGATGGTTTCCAGGGGGAACCGCGTGGATGTCAACCTGACATTGTACATTGCTAGCAATAAGATCATCAATCTACATTACTAACAATACCCTTTCACCCAAGAGAAAGGATTGTGGGAGAGAGGACAACGGCAGCAGAGAACAGAGTCCGCTATAGAGTTGTAAGAGAAAGAGAAAGGCTGGCGGCAGAGAGAAAGACAACTGCAGTACGTTGAAGTTTCAATTTTACTATGTGTCCCAGCACACATTCGTTATTTACAATTAACACAGCGCCATCTAGTCCCAAGCTAAGCAGAGCTTGTGTAGTAGACAATTGATATAAATACATAGAGTTTTTTTAAATACATACATAATATACATAGAAAACATACAGACCGATACAAACAATCATACTGATGTACACAAATGCTTGCACCTTGCGAGGAATCATATCTGTAACAATAGGAAATAAAGCGGTGTGCTAACCGCTAGACCACTGAGGCTGTCAAAAATAATCTTTAGTACAATACTAATAATATAATTGCAGTGTATCTTTTTGTCATCCTAAAAGCTGAAATGAAATTAATTGAAACAAAAAAATTTACGTGAAATCTTAACACACAAACAGACAATTTTGCCATCGACATTTTGTTATAATTAAATAAGGTAACCCTTTATCGCCCTTACCTGTTCGTAAGAATTCAATATTTTCAAAATATTCCACTTGTTTTTATTTCTTTCTATATATTTGTATAAATCCGTCAGTAGATCTAAACTTCTAAACAGATAACTGGTAATATAACCTATTCTATAATATTTGTTTTCTTTATAATGATGATGTATCACTTCTATACCTTTTAATTTTTTATCTATCGTTTCTTTAGTCTGTGTAATTAGTGAGAAGAGTTTCAATTTTATCATGCTTTCATGCTCGTCTAATTTTACATCAGTATCAGTATCAGGTTCTTTAGTTACATCAGGCACTACTAACTCAGTTTCTTTATTATCTTCCCATGTAGGGTTTACAGTTATACTTGCCTTATCCCAAACATCTTCATTGTTCTGTTTAGTAACATCCCAAACTGGTTTCACATCCTCCGGTCTTTTAGTTTCTCTATGATTCTCGTATAAGTTATCAAGCATACTGGGTGATATATCATTTTTTATATTCTTAGGTAGAATTAATAGTTTTTCAGTTGTGACACCTTGCTCTATAATATTTTTATTAATACCAATCACTTTTTCTTTAATTTCATTAGATTCGAGACCATCTTCAACACTGTCTCTTGAGGCATCTAGATCTTCATGACTAGGTTTGGTATGCCAAAGTGAGTTTCCGCTTAATTTTGGCGTCCAAATTGAATGTTTAGGATTGATATCTTCATTCCAAAGTGATTCTATATCGTGGTGTTTATTTTTATTGCTGTATTTTTCTTTATTGTGCAGCCTTTGTGGCATTGTTACCATAACCTTAGATGGGTCATCGGTAGGCATTTTCATGTCCTTCTGCCATGGCTTCATCTTCAATCTATCTATATACAGTTGGTTTATTTTCTCATAGTCCTGCTTTGTCAATTTCTGAGCATTTGAATGTGTTTTCTCACCATTTCTCTCAGATGGTAAACGACGATTTGGTTTATCTGCGCTATCGAAGAACCAGTTAGGTATTTCTTTTAGCTCTTTCGGGTTTTTCTCGTGGAAGACGTAGAAGTCATCGTTTCCACCAATCCAAGAGTTGATGTCTGGTGGTTTGAGCTCAGATATGTCGACCTGATGTTGTGCTGTTACGACGAGTAAGGGTAGGAAAGCTGTAACAGGATAATCATCAGTTAATGCTAGGCCACCAGGAACAATGGCATAGGACATATAAATTATGTCACGCGAAATTCGTTATTTTTTTGTTTCCTCTCCCATTCCTGTCACAGTTGGTCACATTTGGGAGATTCCCCAAATGTGACCAACTGTGACAGATGGGAAGATTGTTCCTAGTCTGAAGTCACAAATTGCAATCCACTAATAAACCAGCGGATGGATTAGAAAATTTTTTAATTTTAGTTTTTTTTTTCATTGGTCAAACTTCATATTTTAATACTTAATTATACAATTATAATATTAGATTTTAAAATGTGACGTCTCGAAATTTTGGACAATCCTACTCCTGTCACACAATTGTATATATGTGACAAGCAATCAAATATATCTAATCTTCTATATATACCTGTGGCGAATCTACGGACAGCGCGTGGCAACACTGTTGCCTAGCGACACATGAGGGAGAAAAATAACAGTCCTGTCAAAGCGGACCGAATCTCTTCTTTTCTTATATAATTTCCATTTATATTATTATCATTCACTACTGTAAATAATATAAGAATACACACATACATACAAAGCTACGGCTGGTCTCATTCCATCATCACTTTTCCTGCTGCTGCCTATAATATACCAACACTCGATATATAAGTAATAGCGGTAACAATCTACTCGCTAAACCTACATATATATATGTCTTAAACTTTACAATTGCTTAGGCCGTTTATATATAAATTTATCTATACATATAAATAAAATTGGAGTGTCTGTTTGTAATATTGAATTAACCGTTTTTTAATACATGCATATGAATATAAATACGATACATACACCAAGAAAACACTTTTTACAATTTTTGTCTGTCTATCTGGTTGTTCCGGCTAATCTCTGAAATGGCTGGACCGTTTTTAATGGGACTTTTATTGGCAGGTAGCTGATGTAATAAGGAGTAACTTAGGCTGCTTTTATTTTAGAAAATTCTTTAATTTTAGTAAAATAAAGTTAAATTCCACGCGGACGAAATCGCGGGAACAGCTAGTCTTCCATAAATTAATAGTTTAATTGACTGATAGGCTTCAGATAACTATCTATGGTTCATCAATTGGCTAGTCAGGTTGTTAATAACTCTTTAGTTTATATAATGAAAATATACATTTGAAAATTGTACATTCCTTATCATAGTTAGAACAATAGAAAATAAAGGACTGTAATTTTTTCATTGTGAATATATTAACATATTTTACTTTCCTCTTTTATTGATGCCCTATCAACGAACCTAATTATAATTAAATATCTATTATTATATTGGGTATGCTGTACTGCCTAATACAGGTCGAGATACGCACTTATTACCTAAGAGTTCTTAAATATGTGTATAAATGGCCGCTAATAAAGTGAACATTCTTTTAAATAAAAAAGTGTAAAATAGAGAATGAATGAAATGAATGTTTTATTAATAAAAATGTCATAACAGTATATTCTACGAAAGACATAAAACGATTTATATACTGAAGATTAATGAAACTTCTGACTAGGCAGTATGGGCAATGCTCTTAGCCTGTCCAAATTGGACGAATTTTAAAACAACAATAGACATTGTGCTCCATTTATTCTACATTAAATAATTATTAATATCTACACGCGTTATAGAACAGTCTGGAAGAATATTCCTAGACGAAGATACCGCTTGTGTTTACTGTTAATATAAACTATTTCGCGAGCGTCGTTCGTTATATTCCACAAGAGACTGTCCTCGTTTTCCTGCCATCCGGACGTGTTCTCTGGACCCGGTGTGATTGTTCATTAACAGTGCTCTGGATTGGATTGCAGGTAAGTGAGTACTATTATTTTATGGGTATTTGTTGTCGCGCAGTCAGGGACTCTAAAGTTTCTGGAAGCACGCCCTGTTGTTCCGGTTAAGTTCCCGCGTGCATCTTTATTTTTGGATTACTCTAATGCTGATGGTTTCAGCTGGCCTTTACAGCTTCACCGGACGATAGGAAGCGAGTGCAGATGGCACTCCAAACTAAAGGAAGGACTTTTGGAGCGGCTGAAGTCCAACTCCCGCCTGACGGATACGACTTTAGTCTGAGAGCTCCGTTAGGGATTTGAACCTCGGCTCAGATCGACGTAATTACGATCCCCGTTTGGGGATCTATCGTAGGGGAGAAGGGGATCGATCGGAGGGGGTGTAGTAGATATTTACACGCCGCTACACCAATAATTAATGTTAAATACCCGTTAAATATATATACTTACATATAAACAATCTTTCCGCCATTTTTCAACGTCAAATGCGATTTATTTCTTAAAGTGTATTATATAAATATATTTCTAACCGTGTCTAATACACAGACAAACATTCAATTACCCTCCATGTTGTTCATAATTACAGTATGCTGTTTTCAACATAAATTATTGTTGAACATAAAATTGGTTTGTGTGGAGGAATTTAATAGCTTATTAATATTATAATATGCATTTACGATGTTTATATAAATTGATGACCTCGATGGTCTAGTGGTTTAGCACGCCGCCTTGCTTTCGATTGTCATGGGTTTGATGCTTTTGGGACAGCCTGGATACTATAATATCTATAATAAATATTGGTAACACCATGTGGTTTAACACCCCGCCTTGCTTTCGATTGTCATGGGTTTGATTCTTTTGGGACAGCCTGTATACTATAGTATCTATAATAAATATTGGTAACACCATGTTTGTTACATTATTTATATTATTAACCGGGTCTTAAGACGGATAATTTTATGACAAACTAGCTGTTCCCGCGACTTCGTCCGTGTGGAATTTAACTTTATTTTTCTAAAATAAAAGTAGCCTAAGTTACTCCTTATTATATCAGTCACTTGCCAAAAAAAGTCCCGTCAAAGTTGGTCCAGCCATTTCAGAGATTAGCCGGAACAAACAGACAGACAAAAATTATAGAAAATGTTAATTTGGTGTATGTACCGTATTTATAGTCATATGCATGTAGTAAAAACGGTCATTTCAATATTACAAACAGACACTCCAATTTTATTTACATGTATATATGTACAGATAGTCAATAGTCATAGCGCGTCACATAATAAATTCCACCCCCAAGGGGATAAATTAACGCGAGCGAAGACGCGGGCAAAAGCTAGTATTATAATATAATGTGAAAGTAGGGATCTTTGTTACGCTTTCAAGTAAAAACTACTGAACGAATTTTGATGAAACTTTACATTAATATACCTTATACATCAGATCAACATATAGGCTATAACATTCATGCGAGTTAAACCGCTGGCACAGCTAATATTAAATAATTACATACAAATAAAATACAAACAATTACAAAGTCCATAGAATATCGCAACTTACAATTTATAGAATTGTATACCTACGTTATAAACAAGACAATATTATTATAGAGGTTCTTGCCAAAGTCTGAACCCCTAGCGGTGCGATCAGACTGGCGTATCTTTCAGACGCTCCATATGTCCTTCCTTTTGTTTGGAGTGCCATCTGCATTCGCCCCCTATCGTCCGGTGAAGCTGTAAAGGCCAGCTGCAGCCAACATTAGAATAGCTCGAATTAACTTAAGGGTTTTGTAATTCTGAAATTTAATACTAGATGGCGTTAAAAACGTAAAACAGCGGTTTCATTTCGGCTCATATATAATATCGTCATAATATACTAGTAATTACATATACATATACACGAATAGTCATTTGCTCTCTGTAATCTACCAAAGACAAATAATATTTTACTCTTTCCCATGCAGGCAGTGTAAATCGTGGCATTTATAATTTTAAATCACTAAAACAAACTCAGAATTTGTATAAAAAATATATTTTAAATAAACATTCAAAACCTTCTTACAAACACATGCCTTGATTCCGCAATTTAAAATAAATAATTCTATGAATATTATAATTCCAAATTCCTTTTCAAAATGAAATTTTAATTTTAAATTTAGAACAGAATAAAATAAATAAAGACATAAAATTATGATTTACAATATAATTGAAATCATACTTTTATGGTCAAGAATATTATACAAATTAAAATTTAAATTCTATAATTCCACAATCAGAATGAATAATAAACAAAATTTTGGAACCGATTCAAATTTAGAATGTATATTTCAAATTAAAATTTTGAAACGTTGCATTCCATATTTAGGAATCATAATTTAAATGAATGTTTCATGTAATTAAATTTTAAATTTTAAATCCCATAATTTCACGTTCAGAATGCACAATTTAAATGAAAATTCGGAATTTATAATTTAAAATAGTAACACTATTGACTACTGTTGACTCTGTTGTTAGTTGACTACTCGTACTGCTTCTTTATCTTCCTCTTGATACTGCGGCTCGTTCTCGATTTCTTCGTCCTCGTTGAAATCAACATCGTCATCGACATCCGCTTCCTAATAAAAATAGTAATAAATTATTAATTTTATTCTTTATTAGGGGCCGTTCAAGTACTTAAGCACTATTTCTTTGCTTTGTTTATTTTGGATGACATGGGCCATGTCATCCAAAATAAAGTCTAGATGATGATTACGTCATTGGTATGTATTTACTTTTTTACACGATGGCAACCCTCACATTGTTTTGCTAAAAAAACAATACATTAATAAAAAAATGATTACGTAATCATGAGGGAAGGGGGTAGTAGAGCTTTGCTTACTTTTGCTGACAAGGGGGATGGGGGGTAAATAATTGTAATAAATCTGCCTACGTAATACTTGAACGGCCCCTTATACTTATAAACAAAAATTTTTGTAATTTAATTATGGCCAACAAACAATAATAATAATAATAGTATATAATAAATAAACCTGGACAGTTCATACAACATCGTCTAATCCCAAGCTCTGCTTTGATTGTGTTATAGGTACTAGACAATTGATATAAATATTTAAATGATTTTTTTGTAAATACATACAAATATATATATATATGTATATAGTGTTTTTTGTGGTTATTACGTATTTACAATAAGAAAACAAAGGATATACTGGAATTACCCTTAAATAAGTTCACAACATCTGTTAAATCATATTTATTGAGCAAAGTCTATTACTCACTAAACGATTACTTGAATGACGAGCGTGTATGGCAATAGTTGTTCATTCAGGGGATTTTCATTTAATGTTAGACATAGACACCTATATAAATATACATTGTAAATAAACTGGCTTTAAAAAGTAATTCAATTGAGTTTCTTGCCAGTTTTGTTCAATTGGATCTATATACTAAACTGGACGGTAGGGAAAAAAAATTAAATTATAATGTATAAAAAATTGACGTTTATAAGCGGCTAAAATGTCCTACATGGATAAATATTTTTTTAATTTGAATTTGAATAAATGTGTTTAAGTATTTGTATCCGTTGTCTAGTACCCATAACACAAGCTCTGCTTACCGTGGGACTAGATGGCGCTGTGTTAATTGTCCAGGGTTATTTATTTATTTATATCAGTTGTCTAGTACCCATAACACAAGCTCTGCTTACCGTGGGACTAGATGGCGCTGTGTTAATTGTCCAGGGTTATTTTTTTATTTCTATCAGTTGTCTAGTACCCATAACACAAGCTCTGCTTAGCTTGGTACTAGATGGCGCTGTGTGCTCTATCCAGGGTAATTATTATTATTATTTCCTCTGGTGTTGTTCATTGGCGATGGTAATCACTCACGTGATTTAAAATCAAATCAGCATCAAAAATAATTTATTCATGTTGGACATTTTTGCCGCTTATGAACGTCGAGTTTTTTGTATTAATATTTTTATATTTATAACAAAATTAAATAAACATATACTTGCCTGATACTGCTGGTACTCTGATATGAGGTCACTCATGTTGCTGGCAGCTTCAGTGAACTCCATCTCGTCCATACCCTCGCCGGTGTACCAGTGCAGGAAAGCCTGGACAAACGAAACATGACTCAATACTCAAGGATATTTGAGGATTTGTATTTATATATATAGACTAGCTTTTGCCCGCGGCTTCGCTCGCGTTAATTTATCCCCTTAGGGGTGGAATTTATCAATATCCTTTCTATGGGGATGCCTACGTCTTAGTAGCTTTATGTATGCAAAGTCTCATACAAAGTTTAAAATTGACAAAGTTTCATACAAACTTTCACCCCCTATTTATCCCCTTGGGGTTAGAATTAATCAAAATCCTTTCTTAGCGGATGCCTACGTCATAACATCTACCTGCATGCCAATTATTTTTTGTTTTTTTTTTTTATTATATATTTATTTATTTATTAAAGGAAAACCAAGGCTATTTAAGTATATCTTAAATAAAATCAATATAATCGTCATACTAAACCACTGACAGGCTTTCACAAATAACAACAGACTAATTCTAAAAAATTACATCACTCTACACACATATAAAGGCAACAACACATTATAAAGTTAACAGAGAATATGAAATTAATTAACAAGAGTACAGTAACAAATAGTGAATTTATACAAATATATACATATACATAATCTTCAATAATAATTAATTGTTATTTAAAGAGGGCTCACTTAGTTGGTATCTCGCTGATTTAATATATTAATAAATAAAAATAGATAAATAAATAAAAATAATACATATACATAATCTTCAATAATAATTAATTGTTATTTAAAGAAGGGCTCACATAGTTGATGTCTCGCTGATTTAATATTATTACAAAATAGATAAATAAATAAAAACAATACATGTACATAATCTTCAATAATAATTAATTGTTATTTAAAGAAGGGCTCACTTAGTTGGTGTCTTAATATTATTACAAAATAGATAAATAAATAAAAATAATACATATACATAATCTTCAATAATAATTAATTGTTATTTAAAGAAGGGCTCACTTAGTTGGTGTCTCGCTGATTTAATATTATTACAAAATAGATAAATAAATAAAAATAATACATATACATAATCTTCAATAATAATTAATTGTTATTCAAAGAAGGGCTCACTTAGTTGGTGTCTTAATATTATTACAAAATAGATAAATAAATAAAAATAATACATGTACATAATCTTCAATAATAATTAATTGTTATTTAAAGAAGGGCTCACTTAGTTGGTGTCTTAATATTATTACAAAATAGATAAATAAATAAAAATAATACATATACATAATCTTCAATAATAATTAATTGTTATTTAAAGAAGGGCTCACTTAGTTGTGTCTCTTCTAAAACGGTAATTTATTATTATAAAATTACCGTTTTAAATGAAAGACGAAAGTACACGAACGGTAGCGCGGTACAGACAGTGGCGCGGTAAAACTAATAGGAATGTCGATTGACACGTCGTATTTAAAGAAGATATTATGAAATTACAAAAATAATGTATTAGTAATGTTAGAATAATAAACTAAAGAATAAATAAATAATTACCCGTCGCCTGTACATGGCCGTGAATTGCTCTGATATACGTTTGAATATCTCCTGGATGGCAGTCGTGTTGCCGATAAATGTAGCTGACATCTTCAGCCCTCGAGGTGGTACATCACATACAGACACCTTCAGGTTATGGGGGATCCATTCCACGAAATAACTGTGGATAAAAAAACATAACTATTATATTTGTACCGCCAACATCTATTCTCTGCACCACCTATTGTTGACTGGTAGAAAATGCCGCATGGTGTTAAGTCCGCCAAATGTACTTTACTATATTTTGTATATTGTGGGCATTAAAGTTAAATAAATAAAATAATTAGATAAATAGATACATAGATAATTTCTTTATTCAACAATTACATACACATAGCATACATGAGATACTTTTTATAAATAGAAATAAAGTTTATATATAAATAATACAGAAATATAATATTACAAAATAAAATAAAAATGGAGGTGGCTCTATGTGTCGCAATGATGAAGAGGCAACCAACTCAGCATGAAGCTACAGATAAGTCTGCAGCGCTGATATTCTGTTGGCTCCTATAATTAAATACATACTTACATACATATATACGTGAATGTTTATATATTACACTTCGAGCTCTTAAAAAATTATACTATTTCAAAACATTATACAATATATAAATAGATTAAAAATGAAGTGGTGTGTTATGTATATATATATTGTTAACCTATAGATACATACTACGTACATAAATAATAGTTTTTGTTAGCATATGATCGCTGGCTAATTATTATTTTTATTTGCGAATTGGATCAAATGGATGCTCAATGGATTTATATTATTTTGTTTAATTCCGTTACCATTAGCATGTGTGAGTACACGAATTTAGTATTTAACTACCTACTCGTCCAGGCTTCGCACGGATTTTATTTTACAGACTACTCTAATGCTGTTGGCCGCAGCTGGCCTTTACAGCTTCACCGGACGATAGGCGGCGAGTGCAGATGGCACTCCAAACCAAAGGAAGGACTTATGGAGCGGCTGAAGGCCAACTCCCGCCTGACGGATACGACTTTAGTCTGAGGGCACTGCTAGGGGTTCGAACCTCGGCTCAGGCCGTCGTAATATCGATCCCCGTTTGAATTGGACGGGGGATCGAGGGGGGGGGCTTCGCACGGGTGTACATGTATTATATATATAAACCTTCCTCTTAAATCACTCTATCTATTAAAAAAACCGCTTTAAAATCCGTTGCGTAGTTTTAAAGATTTAAGCATACATAGGGACAGACAGACAGCGACAGCGACTTTGTTTTATATTATGTAATTACATAACTACCGGTCTAGCGGTTTTTTTTTATGTGTATGATAATGGAATGATGCACCCCCCTGCGCTATCGGTTTACGATGGCGGGGCACCAGTAGCACACCGCTTTGCTTTACTTCACAGGTTCGATTCCTTGCACGATATAAATATTTGTATTAGAAATTGGGCGAAATATAATGATAAATGTCAGGTGAGTGTAATGCAGATGAAGTTGCGCAGTTCAGTTAGTAAATAATAAATATGTAATAATATAAATAATATATAAATTATAATAATAAATAAATTTACATATAAAAAAAAGTATACTTATATAAAATAATATTATTTATAGTTGAATAGTGTACCTTGAATTCTTGTTTTGTATGGCCAATATTTGCTGGTCCACTTCCCTCATGGACATGTGCCCTCTGAACATTGTGGCGACGGTGAGGTACCGTCCGTGGCGAGGGTCGCACGCCGTCATCATGTTACCAGGGTTGAACATCTGGGAATTACATTTATACCTTTATATATAGAAATTGCGTGTCACGTTGTTTATCCGCGATGGACTCCTATACTACTGAACCGACTGAAATTTGATTTGCACATCACATCACATCTAATATTATAATATTAATTCATATGTCTACGCACTCAACGCACATCGGCAACTGCGGCCGGTGGCGGACACCGCCACTTCTTGTCCGACCGGCATCGACACTTACCGGCTTACAAATAATCCCTCCATTCTAAATTTTATATGAATCTGTCTGTTGTTCATAACAGTTTTTATATTAAACCTATTAACACAGTCCACTAGTTTCATTGGCTATCCAGGACGTAACACATATTTATAATATGGGCCATGAAATCTCTCTCTCTCTTCCTAGCTATATATCCCACATGGTGGGACCACGTTCATATATCCCATTTCTTTTTAGTTAGTTTAGGATTCTTTTTAGTGGTGGGGTCAGCTTTCCTTATTTTTGTCCGCCACTTAATCCGGTCCCGGACGTCCTCCTCAGAGACCTCACACTCCATCATGTCCCTAGCAACAACATCTATCCACCCCTTCCTTCCTTGGGCTATAAAATAAATAAATAATAATTCACACAACGCCATCTAGTCCCGTGATACCTCATATGTGATTCCACTGCCGAGGATTGAGAAACGCCTCTTATCCTGTAATTTCACTGTTTAATCTGCACCCTACAACTACAACACACCCTTACAAAGCAAGCTGCTTGACTGAAATAAGCGAGACTGAGGTATGTACCTCAGTCTCGCTTATTTCTATACGCGGACAAGTTTTTTTCAATCTACCATACTTACTTGGCTCATCAGTTCTGATACAGTCTGAGGGCGGTAGTTGAACGAATTCCTGGCTGTCAAAGGGGCGAAACCTGGAAATCAGAAATAAAAATATAAACCACTTTTACCCGCGCAAGAATATATATTTTTTTTTTAAATAAAAAGTATCCTATGTTCATTCTGATACCTCCAAGAACATGTGTACAAAATTTCATAATGTACGGTTCAGTAGTTTTTGCGTGAAAGCGTAATAAACATCCCTACTTTTACATTTATAATATAATAATGATAATGCTCTTAGATTCTGCCCGCATTGTACGCCGGTTTCTCTCCCTGGGGCCCTGAACCCCGGCCGACTGCGCTTCTGCCGGGGGTAAGTAGCCATTTCTTTTATAAGTTAAAAAAAAAAACTTTGTACAACTGTTGCCCATACAATAACAAAATTTAAAAGTAATGAAGGAGACAAAACGGTCTATAACTCAGTGGGGGCAGTGAGTCCAACCTCTCTGCTGTTCTTTTATAGCCTTTACCAGTAAATTAATATAGCAATAAGAGAAATTATAACATTATTATATGGATATATTATAAGGATGAAGGATTTTTGTGCGAAACCTGGAATAGAAAATAAATTCTGAAAGGTGCAGTGTGAAATTTTAGCTTTAATATTTCCATTTTGTTTTTCTTATGAATGACAATGGAATAGTGTATCCGCCTGTGTTAACGGTTTACGCTTGCTGGGCACCAGTGGAAGATGATAAGATGAACATGAGGTCAGGTCAGTTAGCCCATCGTGGTAAATTCACCATGAATTTATCACGATGGTTTCCAGGGGGAACCGCGTGGAGATCGACCTAACATAGTAATGTGGTCTTTATCCATGTTTCGTTGTAATGTATAAACCTTACCTGGCATGAAGAAGTGAAGTCTAGGGAACGGCACCATGTTCACGGCCAGCTTCCGAAGGTCAGCGTTGAGTTGACCAGGGAACCGCAGACAGGTCGTCACACCCGACATTGTTAACTGTAACGTTACAATACATTGATAGATAAATATATTCAACAATTAGATACATAAATAAATCGCTGATTTGTATTCCCACCCCTTCCTATCTACCCCCTATCTCACACTCCCTCACCTCCACCCCTATCTCCCCCTTGTCCTCCACTTTTTTCTCACTATGTCCTTGAGTTCCTGAAGAGAGCACGGGACACGGCCCCCACCGTCACACCAAGCAGTCACACATCTGAATACACCTCCCAAGCGCCTAAAATTCCCCACACAACGAATGCCTTATCCGGAATACCTCGAAATCCACCACGAAGAGAAGCGAAGATCACTTTTTATCTTTTTCCTATACCTATGTAGTCTGTGAATATCCCGCGCTCCAGCTATATTTATTCTCTCCCCCCCCCCCCCCTATTTAGTCTATGATCATCCCGCGCTCCCGCCATCTTATTATTTAATCTATGACAGCTTACTGTCACGCTGACAGTTCATATTTCGTTTATTAACCAATTTAAAAAACTTCTTTACATATATGCAAAGAGTAAAGTTAATGTACCAAACATATATGGCAAGTCATAATATGGTACTCACGGAAATCAAATGATTGAGGTCCCCATAGCTGGGACTGCTTAACCTCAGCGTTCGGAAGCATATATTGTAAAGTGCTTCATTATCGATACAAAAGGACATATCTGTATTCTCCACCAGCTGATGGACAGAGAGAGTGGCGTTATATGGCTCCAACACTACCTCGCTTACCTGAAATGAAAATAAAAATATATAATGGGTACAGTCTATGCTGTAAATAATATAAATTACGTAGTGGAGTAACTTGACACAGTCATGCTCGCTATAAAATTCAAACTTGTGGCGACGTGGTTATGAATATTTATGGTTATGATTATTTGTTTTTGTCTGCATGTTTTCTATGTATTTATCAAAAAAATGTTGAAGTGTTGAGTTGAACTCCATTCTCCACAATTAGCTTCTCAGTTGGGCCGTTGTACGTGTAGAGCTAGACTACTAAAGTAGTGAGCCAAGCTCCTCCCAAAAGCTTCTGCGCTTTTGGGTTTGCTGCTGTCTTCATAGGCTTCACGGAAAGACCTCACCGTTCCGAGGATTTAGAATAGAATAGAATAGAATAGAAAATAATTTATTCAAATAAACTTACATTGAAGCACTTTTGAATAGTCATAACATTTTTTTTTTAATCTACCGCTCATTCGGAATGCTGTCTCATCACAAGAAGAACAAGCAAGAAACTTGTGTGTTGCTCTTTTAAATAATTTATTCTTACTTACAATTTAAGTTTAAGTGTGTGAATACAAACCACCGATTAGCACTAATTCAATGAAATTGTTAGGGAAAATACTCTCTGCTACCAAAATGTTAGGGAAAGTACTATGTATATATATAGGGAAAAACGTCTGTCACGTACCTGTATAGTTCTGCGGATTTCTTGGGCTTCAGGGTCTCGAAGATATCTTCGCTAGCTTTCAGTTTCACAGTAGGTTTCACAGTAGGTTTAACACAGTTCTAATTTATTTTAATTCACAACAAATGCGCGCGCGCGTCATGTCCGCCGTACGTTCAGTTCAGTACTAGGTAAGGGAGGGGAAGGAAAGGCGCGGGAACAGAAACTAACGGACTCTAATATAATAATCTGTGCTTACGATGTTACAGGGTAGATTTTGAACAGAAATATTTTATTTATTTATTTGTTTTCGTTGTGTGGCCACTGCTGCGCACGCCAGGATTACGTGTGCGGTCGATTCTTCGGCTTCAAAGCAACCCCGACAAAGGGGACTGACAGTAGCACCTATTGTGTACAGATGTTTGTTTAAGGGACAGTGGCCCGTTATTGTGCCTATCATTATTTTGAGGTTTTGCCTATCGAGATTCAGTAGGCGTTTTGTCAATCGATGGTTTATTTTTGGAATTGCCACTTTCACTCGTTTAGTACGTATAATAATAATAATAATATCTCAAGACAATTCACACAGCGCCATCTAGTCCCAAGCTAAGCACAGCTTGTGTTATGGGTACTAGACAACTGATATAAATACATAGATACGTTTTTATTTGTAAATAAATACATATTATACACAGAAATCACGCGACCGATACAAATAATCATACTCATGAATATAAATGTTTGTGCCGCGCGAGGAATTGAACCCACGACCATCGGATAGTAAAGCGGTGTGCTAAACCACTATAAGTATAACATAAGTACTGCATAGTATGGGAATAGATGGCGCTGTGTGAATTGTCCAGGGTTGTTTAATTCCCGTCATCATTGAAACTTACCTTAGGCGAGGGTACAACGCTGAAAGTGTTCATGATTCTGTCAGGGTACTCCTCTCTGATCTTGCTGAGGAGCAGAGTACCCATACCAGATCCTGTGCCTCCGCCCAGGGAGTGTGTCATCTGGAACCCTGTGAAATTAAAGTCAATATCATTATATCATACTACATGTGTCCGAGGTTTCACCTGACAGACAGATTTCAGACAGACAGACAGACAAAAATTGTAAAAAATGTTATTTTGGTGTATGTACCGTATTTATATTCAAATGCATGTAGTAAAAAACGGTGATCTCTATATTACAAACAGAGACTCAATATTAAATTCCACGCGGACGAAGTCGCGGGAACAGCTAGGTCATGAATATTATTATTTTGTTTTTAATGTCAGCAGATTTAATATTATTATAATATTGTTATTGATTAAACAAAATAATATTGTTTATGATAATATTATTAACAATCTGGATTATTAAAAAGTTAATTTGGTAAATTAATGTATTTAACTGTTTACCTTGTAAACAGTCACAATCTTCGCTCTCTTTCCTGATGACATCCAGCACAGCATCCACCAGCTCGGCGCCTTCTGTGTAATGGCCCTTTGCCCAGTTGTTGCCTGAAAAAATAAATAATTATTTATGATGTTTATATTATCAACTATTCTTTTTTTATATTATCTGTGCAATCACAGAGCAATAAACACTATCTTTTATAAGAGTTGACAGATTATATCTATAATATATAAAGCTGCATTACGGTGACTCACTCACTGATTGACATAGTTGTTCTCCCAGAAGGAGCGTCCGGGGGTCGAGACGATGTATGGGGGAAATGTTCCTTTGGCTAGGGTGACCACGAGAAAATTCCGAAATTTGGGAAAATCCAAGATGGCGGACAAAGATGGCGGCTAACTTTTACAGTTTCGCTCGGATCGATTCCGTTCAAAGAGTGATTTGGCACGTCTCGGCGGGACCCAGAATATGGCGTAAAAACAAAAAAATAAAATCCAAGATGGCGGCGAAAAAATTGCCAAAAACTGGTTGAAAATTTTCTAGGGTTTCAAAAACCGAAATTCCCAGGGTAGTTGCGGGGGTGCTGGCGACTCCGGTTGTGTGGCTTAGCAAACTCGAAGGACCCGGCCTCTAGGGAAAATTATGAAATTTGGAAAATCCAAGATGGTCGCCGAGTTGGGGGCGTGTGAATTTGGTCCTAAAAATCCGGATTATTTTCAAAATCATTTTTTAGGTACAGGGCAACCCCGCAGCGAGTCGGCTTCTATGGGGCGATGATGGATCTCGGTAAGAAGTATTGCCAGCGCTAAAAAGAATTCCCGAATTTGGGGTAATTTGGGAGAAATGGTCCAAAAAGTGGGAAAAAATTTTTTCGACATTTTTGACAAAAGAGGCATCAAGGCCTATCGAGAAACATCCCCTAAAGGGTTTTAGGTGGGTTTTGTTGGAATTTGCTGGCAACACCCATACATGGTTTGACCAAAATAGAAATTGGGGTGTCTCTCCAAAAACTGAAATTCCTAGGGTACTTGCGGGGATACTACCGATCCCTATTGTAGGGCAGTGGGAGGCTGAAAGACCCGGCCTCTAGGGAAAATTATGAAACTTCAGAAATCCAAGATGGCGGCCAAGCTATGGGAGATTTAGTTTTTGGAAAAATTTTGGGATATTTTCAATCGCGTTTTTGCTGCACATGGCAACCCCGTAACTAAACGCCACCTACTGACATGGGTAAGTCTCAGTAAGAAGATTTGCCAGGGCTAAAAATTTTCCCCGATTTTGGGTTAAATTTGGAGAAAAGTCCCATAAAGTGGGAAAAATTTTTTTCGACATTTTAAATGAAAAAGTCTTGTTGGTCTACCAAAAATCGTCCCCTGAAGGGTTTTAGGGGAATTTTGTCAGAATTTGCTGGCAACACCCATACATCATGGGACAAATTTTGAAATTGAGGTCTAGCTTCAAAAACTGAAATTGATAGGCTACCTACGAGTGTGCTAGCTCAACGCACTGTGCGGCGTCGGATAGCCGAAGGACCCGGCCTATAGGGAAAATTATGAAATTTTAGAAATCCAAGATGGCGGCAGAGATAGGGGAGTTTTGCTTTTCGGAGAAAATTTGGGATATTTTTAAATATAGTTTTAGGACACTTGGCAACCCCGCAGAGAGTCGACTTCTATGGAGAGATGATGTGTCTCCACACAAAGTATTACCTGGTATAAAAATTTTCCCCGATTTTAGGGTAATTTTTGAGATAGGTCCTAAAAAGGGGGAAAATGTTTTTTGGACATTTCAAACAAAAGAATGATGAAAATCTGTCAAAAACAATCCCCCTATTGATTTTAGGTGGTTTTTGTCAGAATTATCTGGCAACACCTTACATCAGTTTTCTTAGAGATTAGTACTAGAAGGAGTCACCGAGGCTCTATACAATATATGAACGAAATGTTTCTGTCACTACGGTGAATACGTCAAAAGTATTAAAAAGTAAAAATCTAAGATGGCGGCCGAGTTAGGGTACTTAATTTATGTTGACAATTTTAGGGACTTTTTAAAATTCAATTTTGGGGTACCATTTATCCCTGCAGCGAGTTGACTTCTATAGAGCAATGGAAACTCTCGGTGGAAAATTTTACCTGGTCTAAAAATTTTCCCCGATTTTGGGGTAATTTCGGAGAAAAGTAAAAAAACGTGGGAAATTTTTTTTTTCGTTAAGTTGAACAAAACAGTTATGAGCGTTGGTCCAAAATCATCCCCCAAAGGGTCCTAGGTGGTTTTTGTCAAAATCTCCTGGCAACACCATACATCGATTTTCATACTAAACCGTACTATTGATAGGGTACCTACGAGTGTGCTAGGTCAACGCACTGTGCGGCGTCGGATAGCCGAAGGACCCGGCATCTAGTGAAAATTATGAAATTTTAGAAATCCAAGATGGCGGCACAGATAGGGGAGTTTTGCTTTTCGGAGAAAATTTGGGACATTTTTAAATGTTGTTTTAGGACACATGGCAACACCGCAGCGAGTCGACTTCTACGGAGAGATGATGTCTCTTGACACAAAGTATTACCTGGTATGAAAATTTTCCCCGATTTTGGGGTATTTTTTGAGACAGGTCCTAAAAAGTGGAAAAATTTTTTTTCGACATTTCAAACTAAAGAATGATGAAAATCTGTCAAAAGTCATCCCCTTAAGGATTTTTGGTGGTTTTTGTCAAAATTATCTGGCAACACCTCAGATCAGTTTTCTTAGGGAATAGTACAAGAAGAAGTCACCGAGGCTCTACATAATGTATGGACGAAATGTTTCTGTTACTAAGGTGAATACGTCAAAAGTATTAAGAAGTAAAAATCCAAAATGGCGGCAGAGATAGGGGAGTTTTGCTTTTCGGAGAAAATTTGGGATATTTTTAAATGTAGTTTTAGGACACTTGCCAACCCCACAGCCAGTCGACTTCTATGGAGAGATGATGTGTCTCAACACAAAGTATTACCTGGTATAAAAATTTTCCCCAATTTTAGGGTAATTTTTGAGATAAGTCCTAAAAAGTGGGACAATAATTTTCGGACATTTCAAACAAAAGAATGATGAAAATCTGTCAAAAACAATCCCCCTATTGATTTTAGGTGGTTTTTGTCAGAATTATCTGGCAACACCTTACATCAGTTTTCTTAGAGAATAGTACTAGAAGGAGTCACTGAGGCTCTATACAATGTATGAACAAAATGTTTCTGTCACTAGGGTGAATACGTCAAAAGTATTAAAAAGTAAAAATCTAAGATGGCGGCCGAGTTAGGGTACTTAATTTATGTTGACATTTTTAGGGACTTTTAAAAATTCAATTTTGGGGTACCACTAAACGTTGCAGCGAGTTGACTTCTATAGAGCAATGGAAATTCTCGGTGGGAAATATTACCTGGTCCAAAAAATTTTCCCGATTTTGGGGTAATTTCGAAGAAAAGTAAAAAAACGTGGAATTTTTTTTCGTCAATTTGAACAAAACAGTGATAAGCATTGGTCCAAAATTATCCCTCAAAGGGCCCTAGGTGGTTTTTGTCAAAATCTCCTGGCAACACCATACATCGATTTTCATAGTAAACCGTACTAAGGAACTCTTAGGTGTATGTAACCTGGGCTCTGTACAATATATGGATGAAATGTTTCTATCACCAATGTATATGTTAAAAGTATTTAAAAATAAAAAATCCAAGATGGCGGCCGAATTAGGATACTTTATCTATGATGACAATTTTAAGAACTTTTTAAAATTCAGTTCTGTGGCATCATCCCTGCAACGAATTGACTTGTATTGAGGAATGGAAACTCTCGGTGCGAAGTATTAACTAATTTTCATAGTAAACAGTACTAAGGAACTACTAGAAGGAGTCACCTTACATCTGTACAATGTATGGACAAAATGTTTCTGTCACCAAAGTGGATAAGTTAAAAGTATTTAAAAAAGGAAAAATCTAAGGTGGCGGCCGAGTTTGAGTATTTTATCTCTGATGATAAATTTACCTGGCTTCCCTGTAGCGAGTCGACCTTTATTGAGCCGTGGTAGATTTCGGTTCGAAATATTACCTAGGTTACAAATGTTCCCCGTTTTTTGGGTAATTTTGCAAACCCAAAATGTGGGATTTTTTTTTCGACAAACTATATATAAGAGCAACGGAGATCTATAATAAATATCATCTTAATAGTTATATGCGATTTTTTGTAAAATTAGGTGGCAACACCATGCATCGATTTTCGTAAAAAGTAATATTTACTAAGGACCCACTAGAAGGACCGTGTCTCTGTACAATATATGGACGAAAAAGGAAAAATGGTATGAAAATTTTCCCCGATTTTGGGGTAATTTAGAAGACAAGTCCAAAATGTGGGATTTTTTTTTCGATATTTCAAACAAAATAATGATGGATATCTGTCAAAAATCATCCCCTTATTGGTTTTTCGTGGTTTTTGTCAGAATTATTTGGCAACATATTAGATCAGTTTTCTTAGGGAATAGTACAAGAAGAAGCCACCGAGACTCTACATAATGTATGGACGAAATGTTTCTGTTATTAGGGTGAATACGTCAAAAGTATTAAGAAGTAAAAATCCATTGCGGCCGAGTTAAGGTACTTTTATAAATTCAGTTTTCAGGTACCCATCGTCACAGCAGCAGTCGGTACGAAGCACTACCTGGTCTAAAAATTTTCCCCGATTTTAGGGTAATATCAGAGAGAAGTAAAAAACGTGAGATTTTTTGTTTCATCATTTTAGACCAAACAATGATGACGATCTGTCAAAAATAATCCCCAAGGGGTCTTAGGCGGTTTTTGTCAAAATGAGCTGGCAACACCATACATCGATTTCCATTGTAAACAGTACTTAGGAACAACTAGAAGGAGTTACCTTGGCTCTGTACAATGTATGGACGAAATGTTTCTCACCAAGGTGTATATGTTAAAACTATTTAAAAAGGAATCATTCAAGATGGCTGCCGAGTTAGGGTACTTTATTCCCGATGACAAGTTTAGGGACGTTTTAAAACTCATTTTTGGAGTACTATTTTATTCCTTACAGCATGTTGACTTCTATGGAGCAAAGATAAGAAGAATTA